TGGATCAGCTGAGCAATGACTTACACGATCAATATTTGTTGTCACTCAAGAACTCAGTAGCAAACATCTCCCTATGAGTATATGTGGAGACAGACCTACATGCAACAAGATTTAACACCAAAGTTTAGAGGTTTTGCTTCAGAATAGGAGCAGATAATCAGTCCATAATAGGTGGGTTTCTTCTAGACTAAACAGGGACTCTTTCTAAGTCAGGAGAACCAAACAAGAGGAAAGCCAAGGTTATTGGGATTCCAAGGCATGGATAAGATGTCCTGGAAGAGTTGCAAGGAGTTTCTCTCTCCTCTCCTGCGCCCCTGAACACGTAATTTCAAACCTATTGTCCCCCGTAGAGAGGTCAGAATTCCCATATGGACACAGACTCTCTCCACTGGACAGCATGGGCCATAGAATTTTGACAGATCTAGAACTGTCCTGTTTGGAAAAGCTCCAGGAGATTCTGTTAAAGCAGACCCCCTGCCTGTTATGATTGTAAGTGAAAAAGGTTCTCCTTGTGGGCAACCAGCAATAACATAAACCCAGCTTCAGTTCCCATTTAATCTATACTTGTGTACTTATTTCACGTGACATGCTTGGGACTTTCAATACTATCAGTAAAAGTACATCTCCAGTTGATCAAAATAATGTATCCAGCTATAATTTAGTTAAAAGGTTATTGAGCAGATCTGTCTTTTGGTTAGAGAATCCGTGCCTAAATGGGACCTAAATCTCATATGTAATTAGCTTGTGAGACTTCCTTTGAACCAATTGGAGACTATTTCCTATTTCATCTCTCAATTAAGACAGCCTTTGAAAAGATATATGTAGGAAACTGTTCTGTACTGGCAATGGCATGAGCTAGGGGTTTTCTCATCTGAAGTTTGATTGTATGGATACACTGACGTGCAAATGATTGCCAATTTTCAGCAGTTCTTAACATGTTTTCAAGAAGCTTTCAGGTACATAAGTGGTGGTTCTTCCCCTCGCGTATTTAAATCAATGAAAACTAAATTTGTTACTACATGAGCCTTGAATATAAAAGTCAAAACTGAGAATTCTATTCCCTGCTTTTTCTTAGCTGTGGTTGAACATATTTTTTTAAAATTCTGCTAGTGTTTATTGCATATTTTAAAAGTTAGTTTGTTCTGTGCGTGTTTAATCTGTTCTTAGTACCCTGCTTATGTAGAAATCAGAATTCAGTTTTTAGTATGTTTTCATCTGTATAGTGGAGTTAATTTGCTGTTCCCATTTCTCCATTGTAATCTTTCTTCCTATGCTTGCAAATTCCAATTAATCTGTAAATATCCCTATTGGGAAACAATATTTGCGTAGACATATTCAGCAATTCTGTAACTTTTGATTCTTCAACTTCCCATCCTTTTTAATGTTCAAAACCTTAAAAGAGAAAAAAGCATCTTGTAGTGGAGGCATTGGCTTGTGCAATTTTCTTTACACTAAAAAGGAAGAGGGTTGATTTAGTAAGAAAAGATGGCCTTGTGGTTAAAGTATTGGACCAGGACTAATCTAAAATATGACATGATGAGGAATTGAATCCATATCTCCTGACTATATCACTGACTAATGTTACTTTTGAAAACTCAGGGAAGTTGAAAAGTCCCAGAATGCTGGAGAAAACCAAATGTAGCACTGATCTTCAAAAAAAGAAGTGTAATTCTAGCAATTGCCATTTAATCTATTTTCAATACCTGGGGGGAGCGAAACTTTTAGAATGAACAAAATCTTATGAAGTCTTCTGTTTGGGCTCCTTCTCTCATACCTACATTACCTTGGGGGAAGAGAACATATTCTGAGCTGAGTAAGCCATGTAAACCCCTGGTGGAGGCACACATACTCCAGTATGCTTTCAAAGCCCTTAGACTGGGGCAGGCAAACTTTTTGGCCTGAGGGCTACATCGGGTTTCCAAAATTGTATGGAGGCCCGGTTAGGGGAGGCTGTGTCTTCCCAAATAGCCAGGCGTAGCCCGGCCCCCACCTCCTATCTGACCCCCGCTTCTCCCCCCGTGATGGCCCCATCTGGGACTCCTACTCCATCCATTGGCCCCTGCCACCCCATCCAACCCCCCCTCTCATTCCTGACTTGCCCCCCGGGACCCCTGCCCCATCCAACCACCCTTTCTCCCTGTCCCCTGACTGCCTTCCCCCGCCACTCCATCCAGCCACCCCCCTCCTTCCGGCCTGCCCCTCCCCGGGACCCTTGCCCCAGCCAACCACCCTGTTCCCCGCCCTCTGACCCCCGTGACCCCTATCCACACCCCCATGCCCTGACCACCACCCTGAACTCCCCTGCCCTCTATCCAGCCCTCCCTGCCCCCTTACCGTGCTGCCTAGAGCACAGGTGGCTGGCGGTGCTACAACCGCACTGCCCAGAGCACCAGTCAGACCGCGGCTCTGCAACTGCGCTGCCCAGCCCCCCAGAGTGTTGCGCCGGTGGTGTGGTGCACTGAGGCTGCAGGGGAGGGGCTGGGGGCAAGCGTCCTGGGCCAGGAGCTCAGGGGCCTGGCAGGAGGGTCCTGCGGGCCATAGTTTCCCCATCTCTGCCCTAGACCCTTGTGATGTCAGTACAGTACAGTCCATTACTCTAAGACGATATTGCTTTCCACTTCTTAGTTTTCTTCTCTGCCCTCATTTCATCCTTTTCCACCTGCACATTGCTCTGCTACCTGCTTCTTTATCTCTGATTTACCATGCTCTTCCATCTACCTTCTGCCTTTAGAAATACGCTCATTAGCCTATCCCTTTCCAATAAAAGAAACCACTTTTAAGCTTTCAGTTAATGTTTTTTAAAAAAATCAACCAAGTTACATGCAGTTTAAGTAAATGCATCACCTTTAACTGCAACCCCTGCATTCTCGTCTCTTAACCCACTCCCTTTCATATTTCTCTTTGCTTGTTCCTTTTTCGTTTAGTTTGTAAGCTTTTCAGAGCAAGGACCACATCTGTTCTATGAAGTGTCCAGTAGAATTCTGAGTACTCAATAAATGAAGAAGAATAAAATTTGCCAGACAAACTGGATTATTTTTGATAGAAATGCAAAATTAATTGCTGAAGAAAAGTAACATCTTTAATATACTTACATTTGACTATTGAATAGAATTTGAACGCTGTCCTATAGAACTAAGACTTAATTCATATTGGCTTGAATGTCTGAATATCCTTGAAGAGCTTGATGATTGACCAAAGGGATAGTAAGCAAAACCTTATAAAAATGGCAGGATAAATGGGGATAGTTTCTAGCAAGGGTATTGCTTGGTTTGTTATTAGACTTGGTCTTACATAATGAAATAAAACTGAGACCCTAAATTAGGAGGAGTTTGGGAGAAATAATAAAAATACAATATGTAAAATCAAGCTAGAAGCTTCCCATCACAGATAATAAGATATGATCCATTCTCCAAGGAGCCTAATGAGGCAGCAATGGTTTTAGGGTGTTGAAAGACTCGAATAACATCAGTATGCTCAATCAGAGAATGAGTTTCTCAGTAAAGACTGGTGCACATCATGGTGTAATAAAAGTAGAATAATCTGGAATAAAATCAACACTACTTAATTAGTTCATATCTTGTAGGTGTTATGTGGACTATTAGGAAATAACAAAATCAGAAAGAGTATTGTCCTTGTGGATTAGGTCAGGAAGGGTGTTCAATGTGTAGGAATAAGTAGGGAAGAAAGTGCAAACACCGAAATAAGTTATGGAAGAAGTGAATGAATAGAATATTGAGGCTGGCATCATTTATGAAGCAGACATACTGGGTGGGAATAATGTGACTGGGCTGTTGTTTCCTTGAATAGTGAGGAAGAAATGGACACCTGTCATCTGAGTGGAGGGTGGGATGCTTGTGGTGGATACTAGGGAGAAATGTAATGGTGGGCTTTTGGAACCAGAGAAGGAGGGCACTCTTCTGCCCATTGCCCCACCTTTCTCCTCTTTCTCCTTGTAACTTCCTTACATCTTGCAGTCTGAGGAAATGCCTGTCTCTACTTTTACAGGAGACCTTATTTGAGGCCTGGTGTCTTGCAGGGGCAAAGGTAACTTGAGAAGCCTGATCTAGAGGTGATGTGTGTGTACATTCAGTTAGGCAGCTGTCATTTTCACTGGATCAGCTGGCTGATGATTCCTTCAGGAGATCAATCTGCAAAGGTTTATTTAAAAAAAAAAAAAGCCTCTTTTGTGAAAGTGATCATGACTCTCCCAGTTGACAGGCACATGTTCATTTTAGTTGCAAACAACCATCAAGACATGCAAGAACGATCAAGGGAACTGGGGAAATCAGATGTCTGGGCATGAAATAAGCAAATAAAGTTCAGCTTCAAAAAATGTCAGATAAGTAATCTGAGGGAAACTAATTTGAAATATGGATACTGAGTGGGAGGGAGATATCTGGAAAGCATAGGAGCAGTAGTGGGCAGCTAATTAGGCCCACATTTGCGATGCAATATGGCACTGAAAAGAGCTAATGCAATTCTTATGATGCTTACATAGCGGCATCCTAGAGCTATACTGCTCTAGTGTACCTATGGCTAGAATCAAGTCAGTAACACTTCCACAGTGCCTAGCTGGATCTTTCAATCCATCATGTTATCCAACAGCTTTAGCTCATACAACTATGTTTATCAGGTCCCTGTATGTACAGTCAAAATGGTTTATCATTTAAAAATGTTTATCATTTGTTAAAATGTCATCAACTAAAGCTTAATTATGAAAAAGAGAATCCTTTGGAGCAATTTTATACTGCAAAATAATTCTGTAATACTTCAGAACCTGTAAAGCATTGAAAATAAACAATGGCATGCAAAGATTAAAGACGTACTGCAAGAATTTTTTAAATCTTTTTTTCCTGCAAGCAAAATTTAAAACATCTATAAAATATAGCTGTGTCAAAATGATTTCTTGCAAGATTTATATGCTTCAGAAAACACCACATTGCACAATGTATTCACCTATATAAAATGTTCTTTTCTGATATTACATATTCTTCACACAGCATAATATGACACTTGTTGATGGCCAGCCAGGGAATGTTACAACATATGTGCCTAAAGTCTGTGATGCAGATGCCCCAGAAGGTAAGACAAACAAAACTTCTGTTCAGTGCACACTTCCTCTGTTACATCATTGTAGAAGATTGGTTACTTCGTTATATTTGTGTCCACTAGTAAGAGAAACCACTGAAATTTTATTTTCTTAAAAGATAATTGAGCATTTGCTCAAGCTTCTTTAGGGTTTATGTCCTCTGTGTTAAGGTTTACTTACAGAAGGTAGAAATGTAGCCTAGTTAACAGCCTAGTAAATTCCCATTTGTGGAAAGAAGTCTACTCTGTAGAATATAAATCCTAATGCAATGCATTTTACTATACAGACATAAAGATCTAACTTAACGGATCTCTCACTCGCTTAAATAATATACATGTGTTAACAATACCCTTCACAAAATTTGTTTTTTCAAGGTTTAGATCAGTTTCTGAAAGGGGAAGTGTAAGTGATTTTTTTGGTGGGGGATTGGTGAAGCATCCAAAAAACTGTTATGCTAGCAAATAATTCTGAAATGCATCCTTTTTACAGTGAAAATTCAAGAATCATATAATTACATAGGCTTGTAATCATAAATGTTTTCAAATTTAGTAAAGGTGTATATATAAACATCTAAGAAATGTTATTGAGCCAGAAAAATGTAGTCAGAAGTCTGCCTAATAGAAAATTCATGCCCACCAAGCAACTTACCAACGATCCTGGTGGATTATACATCACTGACCATTTATAATCAAGATTGCATGTTTTTGAGGCCACAATCTTTGCATTTAAAAAAAGTACTGACTTCTTCAAAATCAGCAAAAATAGATTTACAGCCATCTAAAATAATCCATGAATTTTCAGGATGAAGCAGTGGAGTTTGTGCTCCAATCTTGGCATATTTTTTCTGTAATGTAAAAGCTTGCACAGGCTGTGGAAGGGAAGGTTGAAAAAAGGGGGAAAATGTGTATGTATACATGGATATGTATCCATAAAGCCTGGGGTTGGCAGAAGGAAGGTTTCTTAAAAATATTACTAAGCACAAAGCATGCTTATCAATAATTGGTAGAAAAGACATGAGTTTTGTAATAGCTTTCCATATAATTCCAAATCAGCTATCGTCTTTCTCCACAAGCACTTACACAGACGCTGGGATCTAAAACACTTTTTTTTTCTTCCCATCACAGGGTAATGATTGAAAAAATCACATTTAATTTTAAGAGCACTTTCATTAAGGGATTTGAATATTGGTGATCATATCTGAACCTGTTCCCAGTACAGAACATGTAGATGTTGTTATGGCTGTGGTGTTGTATTTAGGAATTTTGTTGCCTCTGTAGAGTTGTATTTTTTCCATACAAAAGTTAGCATTTAAATTTAACTATCTCAGGCATCAGTGTCTCATTGTCTTTGGACATCAGTCAACAAGTCTCTCTGAAAGAGTTTCTGCCTGTGCTTCTCTCTTAAATAGAGCATCCTTGACTTGTCTTCTACCTTTGTGAATGCTGCACTGTCATTAAGAATAACTGAGTTCCTAATGTGGGAACTATGTTGTGGTCTTTCCCCTTTTTTCTCCCTTCCACTTCAGATGGTAATACTTACCTACAATTTACCAGTGCTGACACAAGAAGATGGATAGGGGAAGCATCCCTTGTAAACAGCATTATTTTGTGACCTGGGTCAAATTAGGTAAAAGTGTCTGTCCCCCAGAATAAGTTCCACCTTCTTAAGATGCCAGAATGGGAAACCATTTCAGTAGATCAAACAAATGCTCAAATATTTTATAAATATAAGATTTTCTTATATTTTAAAATATATAAGCTTGACTCATTGACCTGAATTTGAATATACCCATGGGCTCTGCTGGACTCTTCAGTCTTGGATTCTCTGTGGTGGAGCTCAGATATCCTGCCGATTGCTTTGGGTTTTGCCTCTCCTTGATGAGGGTAAAAATAAATGCTGGTATTCTCCCAAACCCACCACACTTGGCTCGTAAATAAACTATCACTCAGAATACACAGATCTTCACAATATACTTCGCTATATACTTTGACCAAAGTACAACCTAACGCTGGCATTTAAAATATCCTCATTGGCATCTGAGTTAGCACCCATTTAGGAAAACTGGGTAGTTCATACTTCTTGAAGCTATTATTTCAGCCTCTCTGCAAACTCTAGTACACGTCATTGCACTGGGTACTTTTGGTTTGCATTGTCAAGCTTTTCTTTGCAACTATAGCGCCCAGTGTCTTCAGCTTTTAAAAGATGAAAGCAGAGATTCTGGAAAACAAGAAGTGATTTTGGAGAGGTGCTGATGTGCAGTACTGCTGCATACTAGCCCAGTTCAAGGCCTGTGTAACTATTATGAAGGGTTAGGATCACTTAATAGAATGCCTTGATGTAAGCATTTAATATAGGTATAGCCAACACATAATACAATAAACTGTATTTTGCTTCCAACGGTTCTTATTAGAATTCTTTGAGAATGTTTTTTTGGAAGGAAGTGTTTCTTTTGTTATTGATAGAACTTTTTTTGTTTTTCTCTTGTTTTCTGTACATGTCTTTTGAGAGTCTCATTGAATTCATAATAATTATGATCAATCCATGCACTGGGAAAAGAATCTACGGAAATGCGAGAAAGCCAAACTTGGTGCTTGTCTGCTTTCACTGCATTGTGATGACCCACAAAATTGTGACGGTTCAGAGTTTAAGTGGATTTTCTTTTCCCCCAGTCTCTCATACTTACAGTAGAAAACAGAATTTAAAGCAAATATTGTCGATTTATCTGATAAGAATATTTTTGAAACCTTAAAATATAGTCTGAACAGGTGAACACGGAAGTTCCACATACTGTCAAGAGTTACAAATGTTTGCTCAACTGATTGCTTTCTTTCTCTAATAGATATTCCAACTTACTGATGGAAATTTTTTTGTTTTTAAATGTTATTGATCTAAAAATTCAGAGCATTGACTACGGCTTACAAGTATGTGGCAGGTTTGGTAGTTTTAGTTTCTGTATACAGCTAATTTAGAATATCTGAGGACTACTAAAAAAAATTTTCTGCAGAAATTTTTCCAGTCAATGGTTTATTTACATAAGAACATAAGAACGGTCATACTGGGGCAAACCAAAGGTCCATCTAGCCCAGTAACCTGTTTTCCGACAGTGGCCAATGCCAGGTGGCAAAGAGGGAATGAATGGAATAGATAATCATCAAGTGATCCATTCCCTGTCGCCCATTCCCAGCTGCTGGCAAACAGCAACTAGAGTCACCATATCCTCCATGAATTTATCTAGTTCTTTTTTGAACCCTGTTGTAGTCTTGGCCTTCACAACATCCTCTGGCAAAGAGTTCCACAGGTTGACATTTAAATTGTATTCATTTGGACCACTAACACTTTTCTCCTAAGCATTTATCTTGTATTTTGACATTGTCTTTTTTAGATGCAAGTATATTTTCTCCATATACTAATTTTACATCTTTAGCATTTAAAGTATTTTATTTTTTACTGGCTCTGTGGATATACCTAAGTGTATAGTGACCTACTCTATTATAACCACTATTCAGATGTACTGGGGATGAGAGCCCTGCTGATTTTATTGCACTTGAATTGTATTTTTCTTCTCAGCAGAGTGAGCAAAGAACAACCTGACAGAGATCATGTTGTTATGGCAACTAATTTTCTAAAAATAATTTCTATATTGTTAGAACTTTAGTTGCCTTTAATATGAAATTCATTTTACATAGATTTGTTTCTAACCAGTATTTTGCTTGCTGAAGAGGACAGGTTGTTTATATTTCTTCAAAATTAAAGATGGGATAAATAGTAACACAATTTGAGTGCAAAACTATCAAATCTTTGATGTTATTTAGGTTCAGAACTGTAATGCTTAGGCAATTTTAGCTTGTATTTGAAAGTGTTAATATTGTCAAGAAACATTTTTTTCTCATATGTTATCTGTGTTTTTACTTCTAATATATTAATTAACATAGTTTGAATATCCTAGACTATGATGACTGACCTGAAAAAGGGAAAGCAGAAGACAAGAGGAAATGGAGTAGATAAAATTTTGCATTTTACTGGTTGAGAATCTTAGTCTTCATAAAAATTCCTTAGCACAAATATATACTAGTGCATGAATCGTCCATTTACTTGTTCAGTCTAAGTACATACAGTTTATTAAAATAATTGTCTGTAAAACAGCCAAGGATTTTGTACATGGCCGTACCTTAGTGTGTTATAAAAGGAAACATTTATTTTTAATAAGCTTCAGTGGAGTTAGGAGATATTTGAAGCAGCTGTATGATAGAGGAGCTTTATGACAGAATATATACTTGCATTTTTTTAAATACAGTGGTAAATTGGAGTATTGTTTCTCAGTCCACTTGTACTTTCTCAATAACTTCTTGCTGCTGCATACTAGGGTGCAGTATGCTCTTAATCCGCTTTTACCACTGAGCAACCTTCCAATATTCCTTTCCCGGTTTTAATGTATTAACCAAGATGTATTTTTCCTACTCCTTTTTGTTTGGAAATCTGGCCACTTAACATACTTTTTTTTATTTTGTTTTTGTTATCTGTGCAGCATTTATATTATTCCTAGGGGAATTCTGCTCCAAAAAATAATTATATCCACAATATTTTAAAATTCTGCAAAATTTTATTTGTCAAAATAACACTACATAATCATGTCAGTTTCAATTATTTTGGTAATTTTATTGCAAAATACCTGTCAGCATGTATGTCTGCATAGACACACACACAAATTCCCCCAGGAGTAGTGTTGAAGAAACTCCTATGACAACCCAGTTCCTGTTTCTCTGCCCCCTCTTCCCCCAGAGCCCAGCCAGGTGATTAGACACCCATAATCCGTCCCCCACAGAGCCCAGCCGCGAGGCCCCCCTTGCCCAGATACCTACACCCCATCGCCCAAGTGCCCAGTTGCAGGGCCTCCTCTAGCCCAGACACCTGCCCCCCTACTCCCCTCCAATAATATTTCATTGAATAGATACATTAATGTCACGTCTGGAAATTACATTTTAGGCAATTTGAA